ACACACCACCACACATACCACCACCACACACACCACCGCCACCAACACACACCAACATCACCACCAACACACACGCCACCATCACACCATCAACACCACCACCACCACCACACACACCACCACACACACACACACAGCAACACTACCATCACCACCAGCACACCCCAAGCACCCAAAACTGAAGTCATTTTGAACAAAACAGCGAATAATGTCGAGGTGGGGGCTGGGGGCTGGGGGGGTGTGTGGATATTGAGTTACGAAACGCAGAGTGGACGCCGCAGGGAATGAAACCATTCCAGTCACGCTTACACTGCGGTGGGGGGCCCGGGTGGTGGGGGGCCCTGGGTGGTGAGGAGGGGCCCCCCAGTTTACACTGCGTTTGGGGGGCCCTGGGTGGTGAGGGGGGGCCCCCCACTGTACACTGCGACGAGGGGGGGGGAGGGCTGTGACACATTTTGGGGCACTTGGAGGACGCGTCGGCAATTTGTTTTGTTTCCCCGTTCACTGGTGACGCTGCTTGGTCGTAGAGACGCAGTCGGACAGCGGCGAGGAGTCTTGTGGTCGCAGTGAGTCACTCACTCACGTGTGTGTGTGTGAGTGACGTGTGTGTGAGTGACGTGTGTGTGAGTGTGTGTCATCTACAGCCAGTCAACATCATGGCACCAGCTGGGGTCTGTTCCTTGACCACTCACTCACTCACTCACGTGTGTGTGTGTGAGTGACGCTTGCCTGGGTGTGTGTCATTGACAGTCGGTCAACCCATGGCACCAGCTGGGGTCTGTTCCGTGACCTTCTGCCAGCGAGCTTTCGACACTTCACGTGGCCTTAAAGTGCACCTAGCCTGGCACACGCGGCGTGGTGACCTCACCTCCACTGAGTGGCGAATGGCGGTGGTCGATGTTGTGGAGTGGGGAGCGGTGGTGTAGCGGTTAGCGCTCTGCTGTGCTGCGGAAGTTGGCGACCCGGGTTCGATTCCCGCTCACGGCCAACATCAGTGACGATTACGCTTAGGTTTTTTCGGTCAAGTCACGCAGGTAAAAAAAATAGAAATAAAATAATAATAAATGAAAATAAATCAATTGAAAATAAATCAATTGATTTATTTTCATTTATTATTTTTTTAAATAATAAATGAAAAGAAATCAATGGAAAATAAATCATATTCTTAGGTTTTTTCGGTAAAGTCACGTAGGTTGATACAGCTACCGTGCTGTGACGGTTCCACCTGAAGACGGAAGCTTGTGTTGCCTCCGAAACGTGATTTTTATTTTATTTTATTTTTATTTTACTTTTATTAATTTGAATTTTTCACCTACGTGACTTTACCGAAAAAACCTAAGAATATGAATCCTTGCAGTCACGAAAGCTTCAAATCTAGAAGAAAATAAATCAATTGATTTATTTTCATTTATTATTATTTTCAATACTAAATGAAAATAAATCAATTGAAAATAAATCAATTTATTTATTTTCATTTATTATTATTTTTTACCTACGTGACTTTAAAAACCTAAGAGTATGAATCCTTGCAGTCGCGAAAGCTTCAAGTCTCGAATCAGCGACGATTATCTGAACCGTTTCCTGGGCCTCCCCAAGGTCGACTCAGCGTTACGCGAGTACCTGGTGCGGTGTGTAGTGAACATGTCCAATAGGGAGACAAAGCTGGCCAGGGGTGGTGCTGGCCATCCAGCACTTCAGCATCTGAATATTTATCCTGAAGAAATCTGATGAGCAATCAAGCTCTTTTGTCACGGACGACAAGCAAATACTTGTCCCGCAATGTCTGTTAAAGCTATACGGGGGATCTTTGTCTTTGTTGAGCAGCGACGCACCCAGCTGTAACATTCAAGAAACAGGGACAGATCATTTCTAGAAACCGAACTAAGTTGTGTAAGAATTCCGTTTTCATTTGACACAACCACAGATCCGGGGTGACGGCATCACTGGTGAGAAAGCCCACGGGTTCCACCTCCAATCTCTCTTCCATTCCTCCGCGGAGTTCGTTTGAGTATTTCTCCCCCTGGATTCCTGTCTGCCTGGCTGGCTGGCTTGCGCGTGGGGGGTGGGGGTGATGACGTCACCACCACAGCTGCGCTGGTGACGTCATCACCCGCACCCCGCAGCGTCGAGCCCAGGAGTTTCGTGGGGTTGTGTTGACGTCATCACCCCCACCCCGTCCCTCTACCCCCGGGCCGTGTATTGATACGCTCTCGTACTCTCTCACACCCGATTGGACAAAAGTTTTGCTGGCTGGCTGGCTGCAGGGAGGGGCAGGATGGTCGCCCACGTGCCAGGGACGTGAAGGCTGACAGTTTCTTTAAAGGTCAATATACACCAATGGTTATAGGTTTTTTTTTTGCTGACGGTTTTGACACATTTTTGAGAAAAATCTCAAAAATCATCTATCACAGTGGTTCTTTTTCGATTTAAAGCTTTCGTGACTGCAGGGATTCATCTTCTTGGTTCTTTCGGTAAAGTCACGTAGAAGGGAAATAATAAAATAATACAAATAAAACATAATCAAATAATTCTCACGACGTTTCGGCCACAACGCAAGCAGAGAACAGGTCTGTCGAGAAGACAGAGTCAGTCGAGAAGACAGAGTCAGACTCTGTCTTCTCGACTGACTCTGTCTTCTCGACAGATCTGTTTTCCACCTGAGGACGGCTGCTTGCGTTGTGGCCGAAACGTCGTGAGAATTATTTTATTATGTTTTATTTTTATTATTGTATTATTTCCATTCTACGTGACTTTACCGAAAGAACCAAGAACACAGTGGTTATTCTTGTTAACCTGGGGGCATGCACCCCCTGATGGTGCGAGATGCCCTTCATGGGGGACGCGAGACATGGGCGGATTTTGTTTTCCATCGAAACACACATGAAGCATGGGGGCACGTCAGTAAAACTTATGTTGTTTCATCAAACCCCACGTATTTATTGACACTATACTTTTTTGTTTTACGATTGAGAACGAAAGGGGCGCAAGAACCACTGGTCTATGACATAACCAATATTTTGGGGGTCTGCGAAGGTTCACGACCCCCCCCCCCACAAACACCCCCTTCCGCTATCGCGTGTGACTCGGTGCGATTGTGCGGTGAGCGAACTCGAGTCCTTGGGAAGCCGTTGAGATTCCGTAATTAATCGGTGTTTTCCACGCCTCCTCCTGCTCAAAAATCTCTTGGCGTCGTCGGTGAAACGTCATTTCCTCTCCGGATTTCGACGGCGTCTCCTCCTTTCAAAAATCTGAATCCTTGCGAGTCGCCTACTCATCCTGGAGGAATCCGTTGAGACGTGAAGTTATTTTTCACGCGTGTCCGGCAGAGGTCGCAACCGGGTACCCGATACCCGTACCCGACCCGATACCCGGCTACTCGTACCCGGCCGGGTACGGGTACCGGGTACGGGTACGGGTAGGCTGTGAGTCACTGGTGAGTAACCGTTTGTCACTCATTTCCCAACGTCTTGTCTCTTCTCACAATTCAAGTTTCTAGAATCAACCCACCCGCGCCTGCAACATGGCTTCATCCCAGAGGTCGCAATCGGGTACCTGTACCCGTACCCTACCCGATACCCAGCCGGGTACGGGTAGCCGGGTATCGGGTAGGGTACGGGTACGGGTAGCCGCTTGCGACCCTGGTGCGGCCGGGTACGGGTACGGGTAAGGAATCAAAACACGTTTGCGACCTCTGGTGTCCGGCAAACACGTCTCGTGCCTCCCCGTGTCTCCCCCACCACCCGCCCCGTCTCCCCGTGTCTCCACAGGACTTACCCATGTGCCAGGTGATTGTCAGGTGCCATTTCCTGCTCTCGATTATTTCGTAATTACAATAATTTCGACTTGCAATCGGCCAATTAATGAGTGCTCACATGCGGAAGATAACCCACGCGTGTTGCGAGGGAGCAACGCTCGATCCCACACAGAAGGGGCAGACGGGATTAGTCTGCACTTTGCTGGTGGGCCAGGGTAAGGGCATCTCCTCCACGCCCGCTCACGGGAAGGGAGATGGAGGTTCACGTCGTTTTAGGTGACCCGCCAATCCCTCGCCTCCACGACGCCGGATTCCACGCCGCGCGCGTAGCCACCACCGCCCGGCTAGACAGACTCTGCTCGTGACTCCTCCGATGCTGTCTGCGTGTCTCCAAGTGTCCCCGCGCAGTGTACACGTGCGGCGCCACGGTGGCGAAATGTTACCTACCTCGCCTGGTATACAGGAGGTCATAGGTTACTTTCCGACCCTGACGCCTGCTGTATATTTGTAGTTTGCAGTGTCTCTCTATCATCATCACGGTGGCTAGGAGATGTTAACTACCTCGCCTGGTATACAGGAGGTCGTAGGTTAAATTCCGACCCTGATGCCTGCTGTATATTTGGCATTTGCGGTGTCTCTCTATCATGATCATCATCATCATGGTGGCTAGGAGATGTTAACTACCTCGCCTAGTATACGGGAGGTCGTGAGTTCAATTCCGACCCTGACGCCTGCTGCTGTATATTTGGAGTTTGTCGTATCTCTCTCTCCCCATGGTCACGTGGATTTTTCTCCGAGTCCTCTGGTTTTTCCCTCCACATTAAGAATCAACATCACGCGTTTCAGAGTATTTATTTGGCTGCTATAAATACCCACGCGATAAGCCACTTCGTTGAGCTATCATTTGTGGTCAGGTCGCTTCTGAAAACAATATATTTATAGCTCAATGGGCCTTACCTGGTAAAGTAAAAAATGTATAGTTTAGTGTATAGTTTAGTGTATAGTTTAGTGTATAGTTTCGTTTATAGTTCAGTGTATAGTTTAGTGTATAGTTTAGTGTATGTTTAGTTTATAGTTTAGTGTATAGTTTAGTGTATAGTTTAGTTTATAGTTTAGTGGTATCTCTGTCAGACCTCCACCACCTGCCAGCTGATGGTCACGTGCTGTCCCACTGCTCCAGACTCGCGTTTCCTCCCATCCCGTCTCGTCTCACGTCTCCTCCCCCCCCCCGTGGTGTCTCCGCCAGACCTCCGCCATGTGCCAGGTGATCGTCACGTGCCGCTCGCTGCTGTGGACGCTGCTCAGCATCGCCACGGCCTTCGCCGAGATGGCCGCGTTCCTCAGCACCGAGTGGCTCGTCGGCGAGGAGGCCGGAGCCGGTGCCGGCGGCGTCACCGGCGGTGGAATCGGCGGCATCGTCGCCAACCGCTCCACCGCTCGAGCCGCCGCCGGCCCGGCGGACATCCTCGGTCAGCCGCCGTCTCCGGCGACTCACCACCACAACCACCGCAACCAGCACCACCGTCACCACAACCACAGCCACCACAACCACCACCAGCTGGACGATGCGGCGGCCCCCCACCATCTGGCGGTGTCGCCGGTTGCCGCGGGCGTCGGCGGCGGCGGCGGCGTGTCGGCGTACCGTCCCTCGCTGGGCGTCTACAACCGGTGCCGCATGGTGCGGCCCGCGGGGCCCGGCGGGGAGGCGGAGGAGTCGTGCGGGCCGTACGCCGCCTCGTTCGGCGAGCTGGCCAGCGGCCTGTGGCAGGCGAGCGCCGTGTTCCTGGGCGCGGCGCTGCTGCTGCTGGCGCTGCTGGCGCTCAGCTCCGTGCTGTCGCTGTGCGTGCAGAGCGTCGCCCGCAAGAGCATCTTCAACGTGTGCGGCCTGGTGCAGGCTGTCGCCGGTGAGTGGCGGTGCCGGTGGCGCGGCGCGACGCGACGCGGCGATGGCGTGCGGCCTGGTGCAGGCTGTCGCCGATGGTGACGCACGGTGTGGCGATGTCTTCTTGGTTCTTTCGGTAAAGTCACGTAGAATGGAAGTAATAAAATAATAAATAATAAAACGTAATGAAACAATTCTCACGACGTTTCGGCCACAACGCAAGTAGCCGTCCTCAGGTGAAGACCAGGTCTGTCGGGGAGACAGCGTCTGAATGAAACAGCACCATGTTTGGAGCGTATATTTAAGCTGGGTTGGAAGGGGGGGGAAAGGGCGCCTTGACAAAAGAATTTGGTGTGGTGACGCACGGTGTGGCGATGGTGTGGTGACGCGGCGTGCGGCCTAGTGCAGGCTTCTCCGGTGGTGACGCGGTGCGATGTGACGGTGTGACGTGGTGTGATTGGCGCCACGGCGGCTAGGAGATGTTAACTACCTCGCCTGGTGTGCAGGAGGCCGTGGGTTCGATCCCGCTGTATATTTGGCGTGTCTGTTTCTCTCCCCGTGGTTGCGTGGATTTTTCTCCGGTTTTCCCCTCCACATTTAGAATGGACATCAACACGCGTTTAGAGCATTTTGCTGCGGTACATTTCCACGCGATGATGAGCCACTTCGTTGAGCTCTCACGTGAGGCCAGTTCGCTTCCGAAACGGAGCCTCATAGCTCAGTGGGGCTTACCTAGCAAAATTTTAAAAAATTGTTTAGAAAAAAATGTTAACAAATTTCTTTAGAACTGCTTGTCGCGTTTAGTTCGTTGTCCTTCCCCAACACCTTTGATGATCACGTTTGGCCACGCACGGTGTGAAAGGAGTTCAACATGCGTACGCACACACGTACAAACAGGACGTGTGTATGGGAGAGAGAGATGATGGAGGGGGGAGGTGTGTACCGTTGAATCAAGCGGCAGCAGCAGCAATTCCCGGGATCTCGGGGGAAAGGAAACTTGGGTTGTGAATAATGACACGGCCAATTAAGCTAATCACCGGAAGTGTGTGTGTTTACACACACACACGTGCTGATAACGGCCGTAGCCACAACGCACACCGATTGGCTGAGACTCGGATGATGATGATGATAATTATTAACGACGATGATAAAAGTCGTTCGTTTCATCTTCTTGGTTCTTTCGGTAAAGTCACGTAGAAGGAAAATAATAAAATAATAAAAATAATGTTTTATATTTATTATAAAATAACATGTTTTATTTTTATTACAAAATAATACAAATAAAACATGTTTTATTTTTATTATTTTATTACTTCCCTTCTATGTGACTTTACCGAAAGAACCAAGAAGATGTTTTATTTTTATTATAAAATAATAATGTTTTATTTTTTGTTCATTTTTTTGAACCTATCGACGCGACTTTACCGAAAAACCCAAAGAATACGAATTCCTGCAGTCACGAAAGCTTTCAGTCAAGAAATTCGATGTTTTTATTATAATAAATAAAAAGAAAACATAATGTTTTATTATGTTACTACTTCCCTTCTACGTGACTTTCCCGAAAGAACCAAGAAGATGAATCCCTGCAGTCACGAAAGCTTTAAATCGAAATTTTATTATGTTTTATTTTTATTATTTTATTATTTCCCTTCTACGTGACTTTACCGAAAGAACCAAGAAGTCACGTAGAAGATGATCTCTAAAGCTCTTTTTCACAGATGTCCAGTAAGGGGCGGTGTGTATAAACACCGGCACTGGGAAGACAAAGGCAGCGGGGAGACGTGTTAGCCACTCGCCCCCTCGTGTGCCGTGCCGCCCTTTCGCAGATATCCTATTATTGTATTTTTTTAGAACATAAATTCGCTCTTCTTTAGGTCTTTCGGTAAAGTCGCGTAGATAGGTTCAAATAAATTACCCAAAAAATAGCAAAGAACCACAGGTAACAAAAAACTACTTGGAGTTTTTCGTTACTTGCAGTTTTTCGAATGCTCCCGGTAAACCAAATAAATAAAGTTCGTCTCGGATTTGTGCCGCGAATTGTGACGTCGCCGGAAGTGACGTCACACGAAGTGACGTCACACGAAGTGACGTCACACGAAGTGACGTCACGCTGCATATGGAAATCAACATTGACACATTCTGAGTACGACCTCCTGGGGATGAGGTTATTAACTAGACGAGGTATATTAGTTTACAATGAAACGCATCTCTGAGTTTATAATGACTGTCTACGAGTCTATGAGTCTATCATGATGTACGCTTTGTTTCTTCGCAAAACCTGAACCTCGCCCCTTAACCCTCACCCTTCATCCCTCAACCCCCACCCCTCAACCCTCACCCCCCAACCCTCACCCCCCCACCCCTCACCCCTCAACCTTCACCCCTCAACCCCCCCCCCTCAAACCTCACCCCTCAACCCTCACCCCTCAACCCTCACCCCTCAACCCCCACCCCTCACCCCTCAACCCTCACCCCTCAACCCTCACCCCTCAACCCTCACCCTCGACCCCCTCAACCCCCACCCCCCACCCCTCACCCCTCAACCCCCACCCCTCAACCCTCACCCCCCAACCCTCACCCCCCCACCCCTCACCCCTCAACCTTCACCCCTCAACCCCCACCCCTCAAACCTCACCCCTCAACCCTCACCCCTCAACCCCCACCCCTCAACCCTCACCCCTCAACCCCCACCCCTCACCCCTCAACCCTCACCCCTCAACCCTCACCCCTCAACCCCCACCCTCGACCCCCTCAACCCCCACCCCCCACCCCTCACCCCTCAACCCTCACCCCTCAACCCCCACCCCTCAACCCTCACCCCTCAACCCCCACCCCTCACCCCTCACCTTTCAACTTAACCCCTCGCTCCGCCCCCCCTCCCATCGCCCCCCCCCCCCCGCCCCAGGCCTGCTGCTGCTGCTGGGCCTGGTGCTGTACGCGGCGGGCTGGGGCTCCCCGCGCGTCCGCGACCTCTGTGGCCCCGGCGCGGGCCCCTTCCGCCCGGCCTCGTGCTCGCTCGGCTGGGCCTTCTACTCGGCGCTGGGCGCCACCGTGGGGGCCTTCGCGTGCGCCGTGCTCTCCGCGCAGGCCGAGGTGGCCACCTCCAGCGACGAGGTGCAGGAGGCCATCGACGAGGGCAAGACGCTCATCTGCCTGCCCTGATGGCGGCGGCGCCACGGCGGTGGCGGCGGTGATGGCGGCGGCGGCGGTGATGGCGGCGGCGATGATGGTGGCGATGATTAAGGATTCTACATTTCTGCGCGGCGTGATAGGGACACGTGGGGTTGGTGGTGATGACGATGATGACGACGACGACGATGATGGTGGTGGTGGCGATGGCTACCAACATTTCCTGGAGGCATGACGCGTAGGGGGGACCACGTGGGGATGATGACGACGACGACGATGGTGATGATGGTGGTGCCTGCCAGAATGTCTTGGAGGCTCAGCCAGGTGACAATGATGATGATCGTGGCCCGTGCGTTTGATGGAGGCCGCCCTCCGTTGCTCCAAGAGTGGCATCTCACGTCCCGTCTCAGATATAATGTGAAAGGGCACCCCCAGAGGCAGCTGCCCCTGTGTGGCACGAGGGGGGCTGGGCACGCCTGTGGGCGGGCATCAGTGGCGGAGGGGGCGGTGATTGCTTCGCGGCCGAGTCTACGGGCACCCCCAGCGGCAGCTGTCTCTGCTGCTGCTGCTGCTGCTGTCATCCCTGGCTAGCAACACTTCTGGGAGGCTGAACAGAGACGCAAGGCGATGGTGACGATGGTGACGATGGTGACGATGGTGACGATGGTGACGATGGTGGCGATGGCGACGATGATTAAGGCCGCACAGTTTCTGGGAGGCTCAACCAGCGACACACGGAGGGTGGCGATGACGGTGGTCACAGCGATGGCGACGACGGTGGTGGGGCCAAGCGTGGGTATTCGCTTTAGTTGGAGGGCGGCGGTGGAGGGGGAGGGTGGTTTTGACGGTCGCGCGAGAGGACATGTGCAGCGGCGGCAGCGATGTAACACGGCAGCGCAGCAAGCGGGTTGCAGCGCGCCAAAGTTGGTCGATTCTGGGCCCATTTCTTCGACTTCGCCGCGGCGGACGCAGCAGGCGGAGCGGAGGGGGGTCACGTGGTGGGGGGGGATGGGGGGCACGTGGCAGGGGGGGGCACGTGAGGGGGGGGGGCCGTCCAGCCAGCGACAGCCATGGGGCAGGGCCCTCCCGCGAGCGAGTGTTGAGACTCCTCGTCGAGGCTTGCCACACACACCCGCCAAGGCCTCTCTCTCTCCCCGAGTGAATGACATTTCTATATATACACACACATTATATATTATCGTTGTTATTTATTTTGTTTGTTTTGTAGAATTTTTAAGTTTGATTGTCACACACCATTCCCCCCACCCCCCCCTCCCCGCGCGCAATTTATTCGCGTTTGGGAGGACGTTTCGTGGTCTCTGTTTCGTCCTGGGCATCTCGCCGTTGCTTTGACGGGGACCAGGATGTCCGTGACTTAGCCCGGCGACGGGAAGAATCGCTGTGGCGTCTTGTGTCAAGCGCGACTCGGAAGTTCCACGGTCGCGTGACGGTGCCAAGTTCATCCCGAGCCACTGGGCAACAACTGCAAAAACAACAACTGGTGTTCTTCGGTTCTTTCGGTAAAGTCACGTAGATAGAAAAAATAGTAAAACAATTAACATAATAAAAACGGTAAAGTCCCGTAGATAGAAAATAAAATAAAAAATATAAAAAACTCACGACGTTTCAATCGCAACACAAGCGGTCATCAGGCCTGAGTTTTTATTATTTTTATTATTTTAATTTTATTTTCTATGTACGGGACTTTACCGTTTGTTTTTTTATATTTTAATTTTTTTTACTACATTTTTTCTATCTATGCGACTTTACCGAAAGAACCAAATAATATGAATTCCTGCAGTCGGGAAAATTTTAAGTCAAAATTTTACTGTTGATTTAACCTGTGGAAACTCCACATTTCTATGACGGGATGTGGCAAAGACTGTCCCTTATGCACAACCACTAATGATGATGCGGTGGAAATTATGGCGTCTGTGTGCCAAGCTGTGTCCATTCCACGTTCCCATGGCGGGGAGTAGTACGTCCGTAGGTGTAATAACCACTGCTGACTTTTCTTCACAATGTGGTGCTCATTTTACTGACCGAGATGATGATGGTGATCCTGCTTTGGATTCGAAATCTCAGAACTTTCAACATATTAAAGGTATCAGGTGTCAGTTTTGTTGCCAGATAGAAGGGTAAAAAAAACAATTATCATATTTTTTTACTGGCAAATGAGGTTCCAATGGTATATTGAGGGTGATTCATTTGAGCACAAATTCGCATTCATATTGATTACGATGTACGATACTAACGGTTGTGGTGAGTGGTGGCGGTGAGTGGGTTGGAGGTGGCAATGGGTGAGCGGTGGGTGAGCGGCTTGGGTGAGCGGCTTGGGTGAGTGTGCGAGAGAGTGATCCGTTTTGGAGTGGCTGCGTAACGGTGAGCGAGTTAACCAACCCCCCCCCGTCGCCCCTTTAGGTCGACTCAGCTGTAAATGTGCACCTGGTGCGATGTCTGAACGTCCCGCTAACAGCACTTGCCCCAACAGCCTTTCAGGATTATATGGGGTGGGACTTTTGTCTTTATAGTTGGGTGAATGAACAGGTGAGCTGAAGTGGGTGAGCAGTTGGATGTATGGGTGTATGAGTGAGTGAATGCATAAGGGGCCGTCCATAAATGACGTCACGCACCTAGGGGAGGGGGGGGTCAGGGGGGTTGAGAAATGTGACGTCACGTCAAAATGCGCAACTTTAAAAAATATAGACAACACGTTCTACTTAATTAAATTGACTTTAATAAATGTTTTCTCCTACAACATCAGAGTGCAGCGCCGCATTAAATACGCACTACAATGACAATAGTTTAAAGCGATTTGAAGCATCTTCTTGGTTCTTTCGGTAAAGTCACGTGACTTTACCGAAAGAACCAAGACGATGAATCCCTGCAGTCACGAAAGCTTTAAATCGAGATTAGAAGCATGTTTTATTTTTTTTTGGGGGGGGGGGGGGGCAGAGCTTTGTGACGTCATATTTGAGGGGGGGGGGTCTGATTTTTTGTGACGCCGTGTGACGAAGGGGGGGGGGGTCAAAAATCGTCCAAAATCGCGTGACGTCATTTATGGACGGTCCCTAAGTGCTTGGGGTCGGTGAGTGTGTAATTGAGTCGACATGAGCGTGCGAGTGTGATCGGGTGAGTGGTTGGGGATAGGCGAGACCAGGTTAAGCTCTTCTTGTGTAGAGACACGCATAGACGTATCGGTGTTGTTGTTGTTGTTTAATCGCTTTGTTTACACAGATGGAGATCCCGTTCACCACCTCCGCACATAATCACAACTTTATACCGAGAAATCATATTTGGTCTTCATATTCTTAGGTTTTTTCGGTAAAGTGACGTAGGTAAAACATCAAAATTAATGAAAATAAAATAAAATAAAAATATTTTATTTTCATTAATTTTGATGTTTTACCTACGTGACCTTACCGAAAAAAACCTAAGAATATGAATCCTTGCAGTCACGAAAGCTTCAAATCTAGAATTCATACTTGGTCTTTACAATGTTACTATTCATCTTCTTGGTTCTCTCGGTAAAGTCACGTAGAAGGGAAATAATAAAATAAAAATAATAAAACATAATAAAATATAATAAAAAATTCTCACGTTTCGGCCACAACGCAAGCAGCCGTCCTCACCTGAGGACGGCTGCTTGCGTTGTGGCCGAAACGTCGTGACGTGAGAATTATTTTATTATGTTTTATTTTTATTATTTTATTACTTCCCTTCTACGTGACTTTACCGAAAGAACCAAGAAGATGAATCCCTGCAGTCACGAAAGCTTTAATTCGAAATTTTACTATTGTTATTGCTGTGTTTTTTTAATAATCACCGTATTCTCTGGTGTTAGACGACACCCCTAAACGCGTGCCAACAAAGTTAGGCAAATCTGATATCGCAACAACAACATAAGTCCCCCGTATAGCCTTGCCAGACTGTTGGGGCAAGTGCTGCCCCCTTATGAAGGCCGGCACCAGGCCCCGACCGCCTTTGTCTCCAACCGGTGGCGATGTTTTGAGGCTGAGTCGACCTAGGGGATTTGCCCAGGACCGGTTCAGATAATCGTCACCGGTGTTTGGTCCGTGAGCGCGTTAACCACTACGCTACCGCACCCCCCCCCCCACACACACACAGACAGAGACACACGGTAAGACGGACCCCCCAACTTTTGCATTACAATACAGGGGATGGAGGGGGGGTGCAGTGCGTCTTATAATCTGGAGATTACGGTAATTGTGAATTATGATGGGTTTGCAAATATATCAATTATCTGTTATAGGAGTGTCAATGTTGTTGAAGCAGTGAAGACAATTATTGCAATGTTTCCCATTTTGACTTTGATGGCTTTAACGCTCGTGTTGTTCTTCTTGGTTCTTTCGGTAAAGTCACGTAGAAGGGAAATAATAAAATAATAAAAATAAAACGTAATAAAATACAATTCTCACGACGTTTCGGCTACAACGCAAGCAGCCGTCCTCAGGTGGAGAACAGGTCTGTCGAGAACACAGACGCTAAATTTCGATTTAAAGCTTTCGTGACTGCAGGGATTCATCTTCTTGGTTCTTTCGGTAAAGTCACGTAGAAGGGACTTTTAAAGAACCAAGAAGAAGACAGACCGCTGTCTTCTCGACAGACCTGTTCTTCTCTGTCTTTCCAATAGACCTGCTCTCCACCTGAAGACGGCTGCTTGCGTTGTGGCCGAAACGTCGTGAGAATTATTTTATTATGTTTTATTTTTATTCTTTCATTATTTCCCTTCTACGTGACTTTACCGAAAGAACCAAGAAGATGAATCCCTGCAGTCACGAAAGCTTTAAATCGCTCTTGTTGTTGTTGTTATTATTATTAAGCCTCGTTGTTGTCATCCGCCAATAATCGTCGTTGTCGTCGCTGCTGCTCGTAATTGGGGTCGTGCACGTGCTGCACCACGTGACCTACTAAATGGAGGATGTAAAACAGACAAAGGTCCCCCGTATAGCTGTAACAGACTGTTGGGCCAAGTGCTGTTAGCGAGAAGGGGCGATGATGACCAGAACGGCTACGCGAGGTGGGGTGGGTGGCCAGCACCCACGCCCGGCCGCCTTTGTCTCCCTACTCGCGATGTTTTACACTCCGCACAAGGTACTCATTTGAGGCTGAGTCGACCTAGGGGGATGAACTTCCGTAAACATCGCCTTGCAGGGAGACAAAGCTTGGCCGGACGTGGTGTCGGCCTTAATAGGAGCTCGCTAACAGCACTTGCCCCAACAGTCTGTGAGGGCTACACGGGGGATCTTTGTCTTTGCTATGGGAGGAAAGGGGGGGGGGGGGTAACCCAGAGGAAACACGTGCGGAAACAAGGGGTGGGGGGAGGGGGGGATTTACAAACTCCACACAACAACAATAACAACCATCGCCGATGACGTCACAAAGTGGCGGTGACGTCACAATAGCGCTTGGGGGTGCCACTGAGCTGAGATGACTTGGCCGATGCAAGCATCACCCACTGTGACAACTCGCTGCGTTTTATCCGCCCGGCGCTCTCCTGCCCGTTGTTGTGAGCGTCGCTGCTCCCGCTGTTGTTGGAAGGCGACTGCCTCCAACTGCGCAGTAGCGTCCTTCACACTCACTACAGAACACACAGAACACACACACACTACACACACTACACAGATTACACACTCACACACACTACACACACTACACACACACAGATTACACACTCACTACACACACAGATTACACACTCACACACACTACAGAACACACAGATTCCACACTCACACAGAACACACACTCACACACACTACAGACACACATATTACACACTCACACACACTACACACACACACATAATCCACACTACACACACAGAGATTACAGACTCACACACATTGCAGACACACATATTACATACTCACACTCACTGTAGAACACACAGATTTTAGCACTCACTCACTACTTGCACAGGGCGAGAAGACAATTGAGCTATTATGAAATGTTGACTTTCGGCAAAAAAAATCTAACTTTTTCAGCGCAAGTTTTTTTTTTAAACAATCGTACAATTTTATTTCTCGATTCAGTTACAAGTCGTGTTGCGCGTGTTTTTTTTTTAATTCTTGATGAACGACATCGCGTAATAAAAATGTGACTTAATTTTTGCCTAAAATGTGCCGTCACGTGTCGTTTGTTTTCCATTTGCAGTATTTATAATACAACGTTCATACGACGTTCATACGACGCTTTTATACGACGTTCATACGACATTCGCAGGGTAACATATGGCGATGATGATGGCCACTCCACACCGTGTGGGGGGGGGGGGAGGGAAGTCGCGCGCTATTCGACCATACTTCACCACTCTGGTCGCCGCAGATGGAACAGATGGGTGTTCGTGCACAATCGCTGCAGCGCCCTCTGCCGGCGAGCCACGGGCAAAGTCACGACGTCTGCGCGTGCGGTGACCCGCCAACACTCGCTGGTGCATCCCCCCGCAGTGCCCGGCAGCTGTCAACGCTTCATGCTCGGCTGATGATGATGATGATGACGTTGCTGACGCCTCTGCTGCTGCTGCTGATGATGATGATACTGATGCTGCCGCTTCTGCTGCTGATGATGATATCGATAACGATGCACCCGCTTCTGCTGCTGCGGCTGATGATGATGATACCGATGATAATAACGACGCTGCCGCTTCTGCTGCTGATGATGATGATACTGATGCTAACGCTTCTGCTGATGATATTGATAACGATGCACCCGCTTCTGCTGCTGCTGATGATGATACTGATGCTGCCGCTTCTGCTGATGATATTGATAACGATGCACCCGCTTCTGATGATGATGATGATGATACCGATGCTGCCGCTTCTGATGATGATATTGATAACGATGCACACGCTACTGCTGCTGCTGATGATGATACTGATGATGATAACGACGCTGCCGCTTCTGCTGCTGATGATGGTGATACTGATGCTGCCGCTTCTGCTGATGATGTTGATAACGATGCACCCGCTTCTGCTACTACTGATGATAATGATGCAACCGATGATGTTAACGACGCTGCCGCTTCTGCTACTGCTGCTGATGATGATGATACCGATGATCTCGCTTCTGCTGCAGCCGCCGCTGCTGCTGCTGCTACTGATGATGATTGACGATGTCTGCAAAAACTTCACCCAAACAGCTCTCGACACAATAGCTCCGTGACCTGGGGGGGGGGGGGGGGGAAAGTCTGGAAGTTCACCATCGCCGCGGGAAGTTCGCGTCCGAGCGACAATGTTTATTTTCTCTTCGATTCTGCCTCTTCGCATTCTTCCACGGCGGCAGCTCCATTCTCCCGTCAACAGGAAACTCGGCGCTAGTTCCTGCACGGCTACTTCCACGGGTCAGGACGGGTGGGGGGTGGTGGTGGTGGTGGTGGGGGTAACGCGTCCGAAATGTCCACAGCGCACATCCGAGGTTAAAGTGAAGGTCGGAGTCTCAGGGCTGAGGTTTTGTCGGTTCGGATCGTGGTGGGTGGGACGGGGTTTGTGTGATCGGGGCTCGAGACGCAGAGTGACCGCTCTTTGTTGTTGCCAAGTAACTGGTGACCGTACCTCTTGAAAAGAGCATTGGCACTTCGTGTGTCATGTTGATAGCGTGCGACAGGTGGGGGGCAGATGAGTGAATGGATTAGTGAGTGGGTCGGTGGGTGAGTGGATCGGTGGGTGAGTGGGCAGGTGAGTGAATGGATGAATGAGTGGGTGGGTGGGTGAGTGGGTCGGTGGGTGAGTGAGTGGGTGGGTGAGTGGGTGGGTGGGTGAGTGGATCGGTGGGTGAGTGGGTCGGTGGGTGAGTGGGTCGGTGGGTGGGTGGGTGGGTCATTTGGTGAGTGGGTCGGTGGGTGAGTGGGCAGGTGAGTGAATGGATGAGTGAGTGGGTGGGTGAGTGGGTCGGTGGGTGGGTGAA